AAAAAAAAAAAAAAAAAAGTTATTTATGTCTAATACCAAGCCTAACTACAGAACAAAAATGAATATCACCCCTATATATAATTCTTGAATGCGGTTGAGCCTACGTGGCTGTTTATGGTGCTTCGGAATCCTACTTGGCGAAGAATCATTATATTTATCCTTATAATAATAAAAAATAATAATATTTATTAGCATTCATTAAAAAATAAAATTATTTCTCAATTGTTATATTTATGCTTAATGTAGTTATATTTATAAGTTAAAAAAGGTATATAAGTCACACAAATAAAAAATATCATACTAAATATATAATAATATATATATTTTTATAAAAAGTATTTAATTTTTCAATTAATTTTTTTTATTATTTTAGATTTTAAGAAAAAAAAATTAGCAAGCACCCGTATAATACACGGTGTTTGTATTAAATTGATACGTTCACACTCATTCATTTTCTCAAGATAAAATTTAATACTCATACGTTCACACTCATTCATTTTTTTCGTAACAAAACATAAAAAATCAGCCATTCATCAGCCTTTTCTCCGGATAAAATTTAATAAGATTTCAATTTTATATGAGAAAAAGAGAGATGAGTGAAGCTCCAAAATATGCATATCCTTATCCTGCTCCTCAAGGTTACCCTCAGCAAGGTACTTCCAACTCTTTTTTTTTATTTTTATTTTTTATTTTTTATTTTTTTTTTTCCTTTTATTAGGCTACTAAAAGAAGTAAAATAAATTAATTTCTATTTTTGTAAGAATTATTAAAATTTTGTCTGACTTACAAATTGAATTAAAGGTCCATATCAAGGGCCACCAGTAATGGCACCTCCACAGTATTATTATGCTGCACCTCCACCCACCAGACAACCTGGATTTCTTCAAGGATGGTACTCTGGCTCTCTCTCTCTCTTTATTATATATTGAATTTAATATGGTGCCATACTAATTATTAAAAATATGTTTATGTATTTCTTGAAATTAAGAGGCTGTTGAGTTGGGAGATGCTACGGGTTTGCAACCGTTACATCATCTATCTTCCACGGTTACATAATGATATAACGGTTACAAACCCGACGGTATTATTCCGTAACGAGACCGTAGCATTTACCTGAGATTATATATTCCATAATTAATTTGTAATTGATATATATGTGACTGCAGTGTAGCTGCTCTGTGCTGCTGTTTCCTAGTCGACGAGTGTTGCTGCGATCCCTCCATCATCTTCATCTGCTGATCATTACCATATATCTCTTATGAATACATATTGACAAGTAAAATTAGCTCTTGTGCAGTTGTGCTATTATTATTATTATTATTATTATTATTATTATTATTATTATTATTATTATTATTATTATTATTATTATTATTATTATTAAAAACAAAATGTTTTTATGTACATGTAATTATATATTCTGTCTCAGTTATGTGAATTAATTGCTACTTGTCGTATATTTTATTTATCCAAACTCAACTGCACAATAAGTAAAAGAGATTTCATAAGCTTCTAAACATATAAATGAAAATAGTTATACATTTTTCGTTAATTCTTTTTGCATTTTATTTTTTTTTTGAAATAAAAAAGGATATTGAAGAAGTTTTATAAATATAAAATAGGGAGATGCTACCGGAATTATTCGTCGGGGTTTGTAACTGTTAGATCAACTATCTACGACGATTACATGATGATCTAACGGTTACAAATTTCGACAAATAGTTCCGTAGTATTTCCCAAATGTCTTAGACGAATCATATATGCATTCTTTTCCAGTGCAGTGTTGACGCGAGAATGACTTTTGACACCAACAGCCCAGTTATTGTTTTATGTGTGGAAAAATAATATCAAATAGTGGTGAACTAAAATTTATTTATTCTTCTGGTCCCTACCATTTTTCTTTATTCAAATCTTCACCATAATGACAAAAGGACAAAAGATATCTTGATAAATTCTGCATATAATAGTACATGCTAGATTTTTATATTTATCCAATGGTAGATTAAATTAAAAACTTGATCACACATAACAACTCAAAGAAACTGAAGAATTACTGTACTAAAAACCAACCTAAGCGGTCGCTTAGGTGATAGTCGTTGTTCGACCGACTTCGATTTGCACGAATCGACTGAAAAATTATTCAGACGATTAGTCGGTGTCTAGCTAGGTCTAGGTGCTCCTGGAATGGTTCGACGGGCCTAGGCGCTCTTAAGCGGTCTGGGCGACAATTTTTTTATTTTTTATTTTTTAATTACGAATTACTTTATTTTGTTATCATGTTTTCTTTATAATATATTAATATTATTATTTTGAGTTAGGTATATAAGTAGGTATTTTTATTTTGTAAGTAGTAACAATAAATAAAAAATAACGCGTTTACTCTTAATTTCGAGACTCTATCTAGACGCTTTAGGTGCTAGGCTTTGATCGGGTGCATAACGACTTCTACAACGCGTTTCCAGTGAACTTCAATCAATTTCAAGTGAAAGCCCCGTGAGATAGAAAGACTAGGGGTGTTCACGGTCCAGTTTTAACAAAAAAAAAAACCGTCAATCCAGACCGCGGATCGGTTAAATGATCTGTTAAAAAAACTTTACAAAATTCGATGGTTAATTTTTTTAAAAATCCGGAATAACCGGTCTGGTTAACGGATTACCTGCGGCAAACCGCCTGTTTAACCGGACCGGACCGATAAATATTATAAAACTATAACATATATATATATATATATATATATATATATATATATATATATATATTCACTATGACCGACAAATACAATACATTCACTTTCACTTTTTGGCTTTCTGTTTACTTGATTTTGTAAGACACTATAATTTTTACTTTTTCCCACCTTCGTTTTTTAATATTTCAGATTTTTCCACCTTCTCTTCCTAATTTTTTGGGACGAAATGTGTATTTTTACGCTTATGGGACGAATTGTGTATTTTTTTATTTTATTATTGTTGTTTTTCTTAAGAGGAAATTGCATGCCATACTTTTATACTTAAAATATATAACAGTTTTGCACACCTTATATTTTGTTTTTTAAAATTACCTAAACAACCTAAAAGATTTTCAATTATACCTAATCATCTCATTAACCGTTTAATAATCTTTTTAAATGTGATTGAGATATTTAAGGGAATTAAATATACACTTACCTAAAAAATAGCAACCAAAAAGTGCAACAAAAAAACTCCCCACCGCCCCACGTCTCCCTCATTCTGCAGACTGTTCATTTTTTCTCGCCCAATTTAACTGTCAATGGCAAAAACCAAATTCACTCGTCCTCATCGAAAAAATCCGAAAAACGGTTGCGACGACTCTCCACAGGTTAGGTCTAGTGCTCGTCTTCGCAAAATCCTCACACAAAAGCATCCAAAACTCGTCCAAAAAAAAAACTAATTTTCGAAGTGACGATGAATCCCCCGGCAGTGTCCTTGATGAAGTACGGCTCGGTTTTATGGAGACGGGAAAACCATTGTAGACCGTTGTCCTTTTTTTTTTTTTTCTTTTGGTGTGTGGTGTATTTGACGATTTGGATATGAACTTATTTTTGTCGAACAATGGGGGTACGACATTATGATTGTGCTAAGTATTAATTTTACAATTTTTGGATTTGAACTTGTGAGGTTCGGTTTTCTGTAATCCTTTTTTTTTTGTGTGTATTTATTTCTAGTTATATGGTTGGTATATATAGTTATATGTTATATGTTTGGTATATCTAATGTAATGTTATATATGTTTGGTGAAAAATTTCTCTTTATGTAATATGTTGGGTTATATGTGGGTATATCAGAGTATATCCAAGTTAACTTTTCACTGGTTATCTGGGGTATCTGATTATATGTTCGGTATATCCGATGTAACTTTTCTCTCTATCTGATGTATCTTTTCTCTTGCTATGCTATTTATCTGGTTATATGTTGGGTATAACTAATAAATTAGATAGCTAAGAAAAATTCGAACTTATAATTGTTTCCAGTTAATATGGGTATATTTTAATGTATATCAACTTGTGATTGCCTGATGTTAAGGATCAGTTTAACTTACACTCTTTTTAAGTTTTATTCTGATTATATGTGGGGTATATGCAATGTTATGTTATATTTTTTCATATTAAAAGTCAAATATATAACAGATATATACCCATAATATAACAGAAATATACCCATAATATAACAGAAATATACCCATAATATAACATTTAATACATTTTATGCTTTATACTCACACATATTATAACTGAAATATACCGATTTGATAAGTCTAACATACGCATATTAATACAACACCAAATACAAACTCGAGAATAATGAATTATTAACGATTCAAATTACACATAACAATTATTCAACCCCATCTCACTGTCAGGGTTTATGTTGAGTATATTTTTGGTATATGCAACAACTACCATCTCTGCAGCAACGTTCCTTACGAAAGACATGAAATTAAGCGAGTCATCTCCGACATCAAGATACCTGTCAAGATCCGAATAACTCAAAAGTGCAACATTTGACTCGTAATTCATAGAAATGAAAATCATCATGCTCAAATCCATCTAAAAAAAAGGAATGACAAATTAATGCTGGTGGCAACGATGCAAAACGAAAATAACGTTAAATACACGACACTATTACATAAACATACTTCGATCGGAGTATATGTCGGTAAATTATTGGGTTGCAGCAAAACCGATGGGTTGCAGAAACACCGAATCGGACTATATGTTTTGTAGGATCACGATCTTTGGGTGGTATAGGGTATATGTTCGGTGAATTTTTTTTTTCTTCCGTCGCGATGAAGAGCACCTTTTCAATTCAAATCTCATATCGTTTCCATAATTTTTGGGCTGATACGATTTTGAAATGGAGATAATTGATTTTTTTTTCCTGTTAGATATGGCGGAAATCACGCACCAACATATGGAGTGAGAACGTTACAAGGTAACTGCTATTGATGCAATCTATAAATAAATTAGCTTCATTAGGTATAATTGAAAATACTTTCATATGAAGGTAAATTTGAAAATATCTGTATATCTCATAGGAGGACTAAAATTTTCCCTTTTCTTAATTTTTAGGCCAAATAATTTCTTTTGTGTCCAAAATTGAAAAATAAAAATTAAGTCCAAAAAAAAAAAAAAAAAAAAAAAAAAAAAAAAAAAAAAAAAAAAAAAATTGAAGGCCCAAAACAAGGATTTTGGGTTTAACCAGTTAACTGCCAAATCGGACCGTCCAATGCAGTCCGGATTATGGCCGGTTAAAAAATAAAACCGGTCCTATTATGGACAAGAAAAGGTTTAACCGTTAGGTCCGGTTTGGTCATGATTTGAGCTAAAATCAACCAATCCGGACGTGAACACACCTAAGAAAGACTAAAAATAATTTTTCCCACGCCAAATGCACAAGAATGTTATTTTCAATCAAGAACTATTTTCACATATAAAAAATATTGTAAACTTCCTGAAGTATTTTCCGCTGCAAATAGTTACCCATTTTATTCAACACAGGTTATATAATACATTCAGCAAGAGGCTGTTTACAATAACTAGTCACAATATGTCCAAGGAAACATAACTTGGTCGTCTTCAATATGCTTGATTTGGGAGCCTCTTCGTGGCCACCTTACTTGGCGGCCATATTTCCACAGCCGCCACACCCACCGGAACCACCACAGCCTCCACTTTTAGCTATGTTTCCACACCCACCCGAACCACCACTCCCGCCAGAACCACCACATCCACCACATTTCGCCATGTTCCCACACGCACCGCCACAGCCACCCGAACCACCACAGCCACCACACTTTGCCATGTTCCCACACCCACCACCACAGCCGCCAGAACCACCACACCCACCACCACAGCCGCCGGAACCACCACACCCACCGCTTTTCACCAAATTTCCACAGCTGCCCCCGCCACCACATCCACCGGAACCACCACAGGAGCTGCTCCTCGCCATGTTTCCACACCCACCGGAGCCACCACAACCGCCGCCCCCACATCCACCGGTGCTCACACTCTTCTTAGTGTTTTCTGCCATCAAACCATTCTCTTTAGCTCCCACATCAACACTGCCTTCCGTTTGCAAACACACCAAATTACTTTCACTTTCTACTTTAGATCTCCCAACTCTGCCTCCTGATATCAGACTGTTATACCCGTCTTTCTTTAATATAAATGTGAGTATGATACTAGGCTCAAGGAACCATTCTTCCTTCACCTAAAATATCAAACAAAGTTCCAAATTTGTCAACCTGATGAAATGTTTGTATAAAGACGAAATAAGTTATTCGTCAATAAAATAAATTACCTTGATAGTGCCTGATTTCAAGTCAAGTAATGCCACTGAATCCCCATATGGATCTTTGGCAGAGAATTTTACAGCCGTAATTAGGTGGCGTTCGAGTTGACCCTCGGACTTATGCCTCTCACACTTCTTCGGCTCATGCTCCAACCTTCCACCAGGATAAAGTCGTACCTGTATTTTAGAAAAAGGATATGAAAGCTACTCTAATATATATAGAAACTTATTGTACAAGGTATAGTCTACACTTTCTCCTTTTAGAAGAGGGTAAAAAGATTGGAAAGGGAAGAAAGACTTACAGTCTCAGGACCAATCAGCTCCAAGAGGTGTCCATCGTCATTGGTTGTATCTGGAAGCTTAAGGGACCATGGTGAATCCACGATCGACCATTCTGACCCAACAAACTCGGCCAAAGTACATGTTTCACCTTTTCCAGTGATTCCAACAACTGTTCTTTTTCTGCATTCTTTCTTGTCCTTTGACTTCTTGAAATCTCTGGAGTAGGATCATCATATGCAACATTTATCAAAAATCAGACATTTTCAAAGAAATGAAATGAAACCATCTACAATCATTACCGAGCGGAGTTGCTTTTTTTTTTTTTTAACTCAATAAAGCAAAAAAGTACTGAAACATGTCAGGAAATTGCCTACAATACTAGGCTCCTACCATGTCTTAAAGACACTTCAATTCGTACAGAAGGAAATGCAAAAACATTTAGTACCTCATGTGCAGGCTAAGCACCAGGTTTCCAGTCTCATCAGTGACATTTGTCCAGCTTTTAGCGAATTGAGCCCTCAATGGCAGTGGGAATAAGCAAGAGCTTTTCCAGATCGGTCGAGAGCTCATCATATCAAGTAGATATGGTGCTGGAGTAGGTATAGTAACTGAAATAGCCACTCGTAAACCTATAGGCTTCGTTTCCTTGTTTGAAGTTGGCACCAAATCGAGCCATTTTTCAACTGCAAGGTCAGATTCTGCAGATAGAAAATCTTCAAGAGATATTGAAGTTGTACCCAGAGTTTTCGATGGCTTTGCTAGCGGTAAACTCAAAGACGAAATGGACTCGAGTTCAAACAGCAGGCGCCCAGAAGCTTGGCATTGGAAGTACGCAACTTGCTTTTCCCCGGATTCTGAGAATATTGTGAGGCTTCTTGTTGCATTGAAGATCGCATCAGGTTGTGTTTTACTGAAGGACACGATGAGGCTTCCCTTGTGTCCTTCTGGAAGATTCTTTACACCCACAAACTCCAACATGACCTGAATTGTTTTCCCCACAGATGAAGTTCATTTCTGTTCTCAATATCCACTAAATTTACATGCCATGCAGAACGCAAAAAAGAAAGTTTCTCCAAACTCCTCTTTATTTGAAGTATGACAGACAGAATGTAACTGTTGCATACAAGTTACAGTAAGAACCAAATTTCACTTTCTTAAACTGCAAAATTTTTGTATGGTGCAAAGCATCAGACAATGATGTGGAAGAGTAAGAATCTACCACAGCACAAACGGAAACTACAGATGATCACCAAAGCTACCCTTTGAAGTTCCCCCCACTTATAAAAAACACCTAGCTAATTTTGAAAATAAATCAAAGGATGATCATAAAAACGAGCCTTGAAGTCAACATCCATCTTAAATCTTGCATAGTGGAGGCAAATGGAATTTCTGATGCCAAAAAGTACTTGCAACATTCAATCTTTCGAAACGTTCATATTCACAACTTCTCTTATATATTTTAATTGCATTCCCCATTTTTTTATATATTACAAACATCCAGACTAACATGGGGCCATTTGTAACATATAGGAAAATGGGAGCGTAACTGAAAAATATCTCACAACAAGAGGTATATTAACTAGAAAGAATTTTCATTGCAATTTTAAAGTACGCTGCAGTTTTTCCATGATAATTCTTAAAATCAAGAAAACCATACGGTGTGCATGTAAGTAGATTCCAAGAAAACCACAAAGCTCTTTTAATAACTACCTCAAAGGCTTGCACAGCAGGTAAAGATATTTTCCCGTTCCCATCACAAGTGGGCTCCATCTTGGTTGTAGCACCGTAATAAGGGGCCGTTCTTACAGGAGACGGGGCTGCACCCCGGTACATAGCCCCAGCTCGCCAGTACCTACAGCCATACATCTCCTCGAACTTCTTGGTGGTCCCCGAAAATCCAACATCCAGCTTCTGACCTTTGGTCCTGTCGGAATCTGTGTCATCGTGCTCTAAAACCTTTCCCATTATCTTTATGAGGTCCCCACAGTAAGAAACCGGATGCAACTGGTGTGTGTGCCAGATGAGGTCAATGTCGTAAGTCGGGACCGAGAAGCTCTTCACGCCTTTCTCTTTATTTCGCTTGATCAGGTGGAGAAAGCCTTTGTACCTGGCCACGGCTCCTTCCATGTAACGATCATCGCTCGTATGGTGTCTGGACACCTAAATTTGGATGTAAGAAATGATACAGGGTGAGAGAGAGAGAGAGAGAGAGAGAGGAAAATTTATGGAATTACACAGGATCTAATATTTTTTTTTTTAAAAAAATGATTTAGATTAGGGACCTGGTAAAAGAAGGTGCTCTGTCTCTGGACGGCCGAGACCAGATCGTACTTTGTGTATTTTTCTCCAGCTACTGTCTTTACAGGCGTATTATCTTGAGGAGAATTTGTATTGCCCAGTTCGAAAGGCTCGCCAGGGTACAATTTTTTCCAAATTGCTTCAGTACAATTTCTGGAAGTTCCTTCCAAAGTAGAGACTACATTTTTGTTGTCAAGGGTTTTTCCATAGAACTCCTCACAGTCTTGTTTGTACCTGACCTGGAAATTCGACAGACCGTTGTTTGGTATAAATCAGAAGACAGAGAGACGATACGATATCTAGGGTATTGCACAGGTTATTATAGGGTGCTTACTGGATTGAGCCTGTGACAGTGCCAAACCCATTCACAATCTAAAGGGATCACCAATGGACCTTCAAAGAGTGGTGATTCAGAATGTTTTGCCAGCAAGGGAAGCCAACATGCATTATACCTAATCACAGAAAGGAGTATCAAACTTAATCTTACAATTCTGATGCCAATGAATAGATCTTCCTTGTTCCAACTTTATGCTACAAATTCAATTTAGATTAATTGAGGAAATAAAGAAGAAAAATGCAAATGACAGCACCACCATAACACAGACATTAGGTGGTCATAAAGATGAGTTCCAGGGAGAAATGACACAATAAGTCGCAGCACGACTTTAGAAACACGGAATATATACCAGATTAAAACTTACAACTATAGTTTAACTTGCAATCAAACAAGATAGATAATGAAAAACACAATCATGCGGCAAAAACACGAGATGACAACACGAAATTGCCACTCTTAGCAGTATTTAGTAGTGCATATTCAGAAATGCTAACCGAACCCATATCTTTAATCATTAGAAAGTTTCAGAAATCATATCAACAATGCATCCATTAACACAAACCGCTGCAATCAATCCAAGAAAATTGAAAAGAAACAAAAGAACGAGAAAAAAATATAATAAAAGATATCGGGTTCTTGCCTGTGAATAGCCATATCTAGAGCAGGGCCTTCATAGAGCCAACGGCACCGATCGACAGCTTCGAGAAACTTGAGCTGTCTTTTAGCAGCAGATAAAAGGTCAACACTTATCTCAATGCTCTGCGCTTTATTCCATTCCAATTCCTGCTCCATCTCCATCCCCATCTCCCAAAGCTCTTTCCGCCTAGTACAAAATCAAACAATCACCCTGATTTTCTCAGATTTTCATCAAGTTTTAGCAGGAAATCGAGCACCGAACAAATAAATCAAAATTTCAGAGTACGAAAGAAATCTAATTGACTGCAACAGGCGATTGTGCGCTTATATGACGTTCGCCTGAATACGGGCGATCAAACGAAGGAGAACAACAAGTTCAATTAGAAATTCAGACGGAAACTCACCGGAAAATTGATCGCAAAAGAGTGGGTTGACGTTTACTTGGGCCGAGAAGTTTCGCCGGAGGTGGGTTGAGTACTCAACGTTGACAAGTAATGCCGCTATTTATAGTGATTGATCTGCCATGAGCTCAAGCTCTAGTACCAATTTTTTTTTTTTTTTTTTTTTTTTTTTTTTTTTTTTTCTAAGTACAAGTTTAAAATTGATGGACGAAAATACCCATGGCAAAACAACAAATGACTACCCGGCTCGCCAACCTTGGTGGTTAATTTTTAAATTAAAATGTTGCACATTAAAAATAACATATAAATTGATACATTAATATATATTTTGTAACAAGGTTGATCCGATTGACGATTAGACTGTCACGCATAAAAATTTATATATTTTTAACATATCAATCACGTACAAGAGAAATAGGAGTCAAAAATAGAAATGATCGACTCTAAAATCATAGTTATCCCTCCCTCCTTATATATATATGCACAGTTTCCCGAGCCTATGCGACAACCTCTTGTGCTCGTAATTCTATCTGTCGAATTTTAGTTTTTCATAATCTTATGTGTCAATTTTTGATACCGCTTCAGAGTTTGTCTACATAGATTTGCAGTTCTATTCATACAGACTGTTAAAGTTGTAGAACATTTTACTAACTTAAATCATAAATATATTCTACAAGTTAATAATTTTATCTTTGTTATGAATATTTTATATATGATATTAAAATTAATCATGTTTTGACGAGTTTTAATATGACATGCTATAACAACAACAAATTTAATGAAAAACATATCTATCTACATATCAATAAATGCTCCATATCAATAAACATATCTACCTCGTGTTTACCAATAATCTTTCCTCTTTGGCACAGTTTGTTCGAAATTAATTCGAGTCAATCATTTTATTTTGTCTTTTATTTTTAGAAAAAAAAAAAAAAACATGTATAGCCGCAAATTATAGAAGGGATTAAATAGAAAACAGGATAGTTGAACAACAAAAAACGAGATCTTTAAAAAAGTAAATAGAGAAGCAGCTCATCCCTGCTGGGTCGTTAACTGATTTCTTCTTGTTGCCCCTTCAACTGTGGATGCGGCGAAACCTGCTTACGGCGAGTGTAGCTTCGGTTCATGACTGGGGCAGCTTATTCGCATTTACCGCATGGAGCTCATGGCGGTGGAGGAACGACCGTACCTTTAATAACCAGGCGCTGAGCTGCGAGAACAAACAGCAGCAGGTCCTGAGACTTTTGGAATTGTATGGTCGTGTGTGTACCGCCTACCGGCGCGTTGGGGCTACCATGTATGAGGTGCGAAATATTCATTTGTCTTTCCCCGAGCCTGGATGGATAAAGGTAAACAGTGACGGTTCTTATGATGGCACATCGGGCCTAAGCAGGGCTGAAGGGCTGCTTCGGGACGAGCTTGGGAGGTGGATCGAGGGTTTCCTTATGAATATCGGATTTAATACCATTACGGGAGTCGAACTTTGGGGACTTTTCTAGGGCTTACAAGCGGCATGGGAGCTAGGCTTTCGTAATGTCATTGCGGAGATTGATAGTCAATGCGTGGTTCAAATGGTCACTGGATCCGGCAAGCATTTTGGTGATCACGATTCTATCGTTAGAGCTATAAAGGACTTGATTAAGCGGGAGTGGAATGTTAGAATCCAACATGTGCATAGAGAGGCCAACTTTGCAGCTGATTATTTGGCGGGGCTTGCTTCCTCTTCCCCTTTGGGCTTGAGTAGGATTTTGTCTCCTCCACCGGGTCTCGGAGCTTGGCTCGATCATGATGTTCGAGGAGTATCTCATTCACGTCGAGTTCTAGTCTAGCGTGATTAGGCCTACGGCCTCCTTTTTTGTACCAAAAAAAAAAAGTAAATAGAAAATTACCAAGGATTTTATGCTATATGATAAGTAACTCATTCTGATTATACAAATATACTAGTACGTACCCGTGCAATGCACGAGACAAAGATATTAAATGAGTTATTTTTACAGCCTTGTCTGTTTAAGTCTAAAAAGTAATTATGTTATTATCTATTTTCTACCTCTTTTAATCAATGGTAAGTCTAAAAAATTATTAAGCCGCCATCTGGCAAATATGTATGAAGTTATGTGTTCGTGTCTCATAAGTCACAAACATTATGAATAACATTACAAATTATTCATTCAAACTTTTATTCATTGCAAATATATTAAAATAGTTTATCTAATAGTCATTAAATACCACTTTCCATATATTTATAAATAAAAAGTACATAAAATTTCTGGTGTGTTCAAATTTAAATAATTTTTTATGAGCTCATTTTAAATCATCCAGACATTTGGTCAAAGCATAGGTGTGTTCAAATTTAAATGACATTTTGGTCGGTTGAAATTTAAATCATCTACTATGGTACTGTGATGTGTATTATATATATATACAAATTTTTAACAAATAATATGTGCTTTATAAAAACAATAATAATAATTTCACAAGATTTTAAATGTAAAATTTGGTTTTTAATCACAATAGAAAAATCGTGGTAAGTTGTATTGAAAATGTGTTATGAGATAAAACAATTAACTAAAATAATTAAATAAAATACTTGATGGAAATAGAATGCTTTAATTACCTTTGACTTTTCTTACTACTAATTCTAGTAAATAGAATGCATTTTTATATAAGTATAGATATTAGAGGTGTGGCAAATTGAATTTCACCCGATGTTTTAAATATTGTACCGATAATTATACTGGACGAGCCAACGGCGATTGAACCAATTTTGTTGTCTATTTAGAAGTTTTAATAAATATCAATTTAATTTACTATTATTATATGAATAGTGTATAAAAGCAACTATTATAAATTTTATAACAATGTAAACAAATTAAAATGAATTGTTGAACTTTAAATTTATGTAAATAAAATAACACACACGCACATATACATATATAACTGGTATTTTAACTGGTATTTTGGCCGCTAATTTTCAGTAAAAATGGTATTTTTCAGTATGCAACTGATATTAATCGGTATTTTGGCCAAAACGGTACTTTGGAAAATTATCAATAGAGAGCAAATTATTAATTAATTATTGGGGGCAGATTTGAGAAAACTTGAGGGGTGTAGTACGATTTTGCAGTACAACAAAAAGCTTCCCGCTTCTCATCATACCTACTGCAACCACTTTGTTATATTAGCAAAAAAAACAAACTCATCACCAGAAACGGGCATGGCTTTCTGTTTTATCTAAAACAAAACATGCACCAACAACGTGAATGAATGCCCCCACAAATTACACATCAAAATGATTCCCAAAAACCGATTCCGAGTCACTCGATTTGTTCTCATCGCGGACGACTAAAAGTTAAAATATCACTCATCCCAAAGCACGAAAAAAAAGCGTGAGAATTTTTACATATTCGGATTTTAAGTAAATTAGGTAAAAAGTCTCACGTTTTACATATAAACAAACTTATACATGAAACAGTGCTAATTAATGAAATTTATACCTCAAGATTCGTCTGAGTTCACATCTGTCTCTGTGTTGGTATTCTTCTCCAAGTACTCGGCTTCAATAGTTTCTTTAAGGATGAAAAGTCTCTGTATCACGACAGGTTGATTCATTTTCTTGGCTTCCCTAATTTCAGTTTCCTCTGTACTCAGATGATAGGCATCGAGCATGATCTTAATCCACTTGTGCAGCTCTTTAGGTGTCCTGATAATATCAGAGGGAGGAAAGGTAAGCAAACTCATTATGCATTCAACATTTTATTTTAATGACTTTAATAATTTATGAACAATGTTAGTTAATAATAAAAAGAAATCTGTGTTAGTACGTGTAAATGGCGTTTGGTTGTTTGATATCATGTTCGTCACCAGGGGAGAAAGCTGTGGCTAATGCCGAGAATCGTTCTTCCGGGTCCGTGATGTTAAGCAAATACTTGAGAAGCTTAATTTCCTTTGGTGCAATACTTCTCAAACTACTTTGGGTTGCCTTGTAAAGTCGGTACATTATATCTTTCACCTGCAAAAAATAAAAAATAAAAAAAATAAAAATCCGTTCTTGAGCTAAATGATAAAATATTCGCCAATTTTTTAAGCAAGATAGAAGAGGGCAAAGTCATGCCAGTCAATTTGTTATATATGATCTTGAATCAAGAGTGCATAACCAAAACAATCTTATTAGAACATAAAATTACACTCCTTCATAAGTTGAAAAGTTGCTCTTTCTCTTTTCATTCTTATTCAGAAATTTGGGGTACCTCGTTTTTCATGGTAGTTGACTCTTTCGCTGATGCCCAAGCACCGTTTATCAATAAAATAAGAGAAGAGTCGAGTGCTTTTCCCTTGGCCAGGCTTTTGATTTTCTCACAGGCCGCATCTATTGAAGGAGAATTCAAGATGTCGTCAAACTTCTCCTGGGCAGTGTCTAACGTGTCCACAATTTCCAGAGTGTTATCAAAGGCACTGACAGCTGATAGGCATCTTGCTCCCAGTCGGGCAATTGCTGCTCAAGGGTAAAAAAAAAAAAAAAAAAAAAAAAAAAAAAAAAAAAAAAAAAAAAAAAAAAAAAAAAAAAAAAAAAAAAATGCATAATTCAAACAATCTAAATCCACAATTCAAAATAAACAAATAATTAAAAGGTGAACAAAAACAGTAATGACTATATTGTAGGTGAATTAAAACTAACATATAATCTCGAAATGCATATCATCCAAATGATTAAAAGGTGAAGACGAACAGCAATGATATATAGTGAGTAATACTAACACACAATGTTGATATGCATATCATCCAGTATTAATGAGTAAAACAATAATTTTCAAATCTTCGAACATGCCACTACTTAGACATGGCTAATATTATGTATTTTCCACAGAAATATAATCTTACATGAGATACAAACTAAAAATTGCATTAACTTCTGTTGATGAATTACAAGTATTAGCATTTCACTGAGAAAAACATGGAACATTTTCAAAATTAGGTCTCAAAATATTTTCTTCCCCTACCTTTTTTTTGTTTATCACTCGGTGAGTTCCTTCGTTACAGTCAAACTTGGTAAATATGGTAAAAAGGACACCATTCATTAAATTATGATTGACTTAAAATGTAAGATCTTAAATACTTTATTTGACAAGATAAGAAATCTAGGAAAAAAGCCATAAGGGTTCTCTCAAACTGGATGTGTTTATCTTGCTTTTGCCAAAAATATGCATATCTCTGTATACCGATTCCATTAGTCATGCGTACATCACATGTGTTTAAAGAGCACTAATCAGGCATGCTTATGATTAAAAGCTCCTCAATGGATCGATAAACTTTGTACGTAGAAGTGATTGCTACCAAGTATTTAGAGCATGCAAGCAGAGAATTATTTTCATAGCATTTGTCTTGTATTTCGTATCACTATCACCTCCACCAGTGGTCAAGCCAGATGGAATTCTAGCACATATTCTCTTACTAAATCTTGGAAAGCTCTAAGATTTTCTTCACACAATGATATATTGTTCAGAACCGGCCCCATATAACGTCAAGAACAATCCATAGAACCATGCCTTATATACACATAGCTATGAGAAGACATTTTGCCTGCCCATTATTTAACCACCTTAGGGAAATAAAATTAGCTCAACGGTTACTTATCCAAGCAACATAAAAATACCGTCTCTGTCCTCCAAGCTGTCATGTATTTCAGAGAGCAAAGTGAGATGGCGAAAAAAGTCCCCTGTAAAGTCCGCACGCCTCCTTGCTACTATCGCATTTATATCCAAGGGATTATCTTGTATCTCTTGGAAGAGTTCAGCATGCTTTCCCATTTCATCATCAATCTACAACAATCAGATTTAGCTCATTTTACCATGTCATTAGTACAAACGTCACACGCATACACCAAAACCACATTAGACCAAACCGGATTTTCCAGCAAATGCAACAATTGCTAAGAACTTAGTTCAAGCAATAACAATCATACAACACCTTTTTTACTTTTACGGATAAGTTGATTAATTTTTGCTTCAGTTGGGAATCACATTCAGCATCCGCACGCACTCTACAGCGACTGTAGAACCTTTCCCGGTACTTGGCCCACTCGTCTCTGAAAATCAAATATCGTTTCCAGTCCTTAGACTTGGGCTTCTCATTCAGGAAAACATCGATTATCTTGTCGCAGAATTCGGTTATCGTGCACCCCTCTGCAACTTCAAATTCAACCTCCGGTTGAGCTGCACTTGCCGTGCTCGCCACAATTCCTAACATTTGAATGATATTAACACCAAATTGGAACACAGAAACATAACCAAACTCCATTGATCCTCACCTTCAAGTCTGAATCTTGCAAACGGAGATGGCGACGGAGATGAAAAGGCTGATGGTTTCACAGTAAGGCAACTCCAGAAAAACAAAGATGGGGCCACCAACCGATTCGACGGCGACCCAACACAGCTGAAACTCAGTGAGCTACAGTGAAGAGCCATCTACTCGACAAGTAATTCTTGAATTTCAAAAGAAAAAAGGGAAAAAAAAAATGTGAAGAGGGTTGAACTGAAGAGTGACAATTCAGTGCGATGGTGGTGTTGCTCGGTGTTTTGCCGGAAAAAAAATGTGATATTTTACTGGAATAATAATAAGGGGATGCGGGAGAGAGATAGACAAATAATTATGTGCTTGAAACGACGACGTTATGGTAAACCTAAACCCGCTTTAAACCCCACGGCGGCGGCCGTGACGATTGTACAAGTGAGCAGTAATTTCATTTCTCCATGTTTTTATGGTATGGAAAATATCGTTACTTAAATTTGAAATTCAAAAAAATTGTATAAAACAAATTGTATCCCCCTATATATAATTTCAGAATGCGCTGAGCCTACGTGGCTGTTTCTGGTGCTTCGAAATACTACTTGGCGAAGAATCATGCATCGTAATGGACAAATAATATTGATATATTAATAATTAATAATTTAGAATCGGACATTCTATAAATATTATTTAGCTAACTTATGTATTTTAATATCACTTGTACTAATATAACCTTTTAATTCTTTTAAATTTTACATAGTGAGACACTAAATGACTAATATATTCAGTGACGGATCTAGAAATTTCATTCAGGGGGGGCCCAATTTTAAAAGTTAAATAACGGACTTTTAGTTTAAATCGAAACACTCATTTCATATAAAAATATATCTATTATAATTATAAATATCAATACGTGTACCATCAAGTTTTAAAAACTTAGAAACCGTATCACCGTCAAACTTAAAAAAAAAAAAAAAGAAGAAGAAGAAAGATTTCATGTAATTTATATAATTATATTTAAAAACAACATCGAAAAAATAAGTTTTTGGATTGAAAATTTTATTTAAATTGAATTTTTACACAACATTCCATAGGATTTTTTGTTAATGAAATCTTATCAAACAAACATTTTTTTTTTAAATAAGGTTAAAAATATATGATTACACAAAGAAAGAATATAAAATCAACATTAAAAAATGTAACAATCCCATCAATAAATACTCGATTTTATAATCACTAAATCAATTTACAATTAAGAGACCAAAAGAGTAAATCATTATAAATATTTTCAAAAGTTTATCTAAAAATTTAAAATATAAGGATTGTTATTATATTTTTCAATAAATATATAATTTTATTAATTTAATTAAAAATAGCATATGAAATAAGTGTTAATAAGTACTATATTGTAATTTTTTTTTACATTTCTATACATATTTTATACTATTTTATTTATACATATATTGATTTTTAATTATTAATATATTGTAAATAATTTATATATATATATATATATATATATATATATATATATTTTTCTTTTTGAAAAAATGAGGGGGGCCCAGGGATCCCCCTGTGCCCCATGTAGCTCCGACCCTGAATATATCCATAACTTTTGATTTGTTTCCTTCAATTAGCTATTGAATTAAAAATGTATTTTAAAAGTTGATAAATTTTGTATTTCTTATTGGTTTTACATATATAATATATCAAATTAATCATCTTTTCATGATCTTCGATTAGACATCCATATTGTATATATAAATAAATAAATTATTATAATATAACATAAGTAAGTCACACAAATAAAAAGTGTCATACTAAATATATACTAATATATATATTTATTAAGGTATTTAAATTTTCACCTACTTTTTCTCATTAATTTTAAATTTTAAGGAAAAAATTATTAACAAGCGCCCGTGTAATACACGGGCGTTGTACTAGTATATATAATTCCCGAATGCGCTGAGCCTACGTGGCTGCTTCTGGTGCTTTGGAATCCTATTTGGCGAAAAATCATGCTTCGTAATTAGGTTTGGACAAATAATATTAATATATTAATAATTAATAATCTAGGTTTGGGTATTCCATAAATATTATTTAGTTAACATAGATATTTTAATATCACTTTTATTAATATAACTCTTTAATTCTTTGTAATTTTACATAGTGAGGCACCAAGTGACTAATATATCCCTAAATTGTGATTTGCTTCATTCAATAAGCTATTGAATTATAAATGTATTTTAAAAGTAGATAACTTTTGTATTTCTTATCGGTTTTCTTTTGATTATCTTCGATTTGACATCCATATTGTATATATAAAATAAATAAATTATATTTATCTTTATAATAATAAAAAATAATAATATTTATTAAAATTCATTAGAAAAATAAAATTATTTCTCAAGTGATATATTTATATTTAATGTAGTTATATATTGTAAGTTAAAAAATTAGTATAATATAACACAAGTAAGTCGCACAAATAAAAAGTATCATGATAAATTATAATAATATATATATATATATATTCTTATAAAAAGTATTTAAATTTTCAAACTACTTTTTCTCATTAATTTTAAATTTTAAGAAAAAATTTAGCAAGCATCCGTATAATACACAGGTGTTATACTAGTATTTTATTATTTTCTATTCACAGTCAAAGGTCTTATATACACATTTATCAGAGCTAAATGGCGGTTTAACCTGAACTAACCACTCTACTCGATCTGTCGAGCTATCATGAGTGCTATATCATATAAGATTATTAAGCATTAGAAATTGACTCGTAGAACCGGAACATTGTGCATTAGTATAAAGAGTCGGCTCTTGGACAAGCTGCCCGAGGCACAAGCATAGGGCCCCGAATTGTTGGGGAGCTTTTTTTTTTTTTTAATATATTAGTAATTTTTTATTTAAAATATTAACATTAGTTTTATGAGACGCTGTTACATTTTGTGCATTTACGTTGTACGGAAACCAAAGAACACAAATTGACACAACTTAAAAATTTCTGAAATAAATTGATTTTGCCATTCTTAATTTTTATTTAATTATAAAGATTAATTATTTTACAAAAAATTGAAGTAGCTCGAGCGACTGCAACTAATAACAAAACCTTATGACATATTTGTTTTCTGATTTAGTTTTTTCAAATTACATAACATATATTTTATCGTTTTCCAGTTTGTGAGATCTTGATATTTAAGAAACTAGTATGAAATATATTTTTAATTCGATGTTATTAATCATTTATTATATGTGATGATACCTTATGTATTTAATTCTTAATAATGTCTAGGATAATTTAATTAATCAAAAAAATATATATATTATATAAATAAATGCAAGTCAAAAAAAAAA